GCCACAATATGATTAAAAGGGACTTTCTTAGTAGAAAAAATGCAACACTTATGTTTATTAAGATCCAAACCACTCATTGACTCAAATTGGTGAAAAACCTCAATCTTCTATGCATCCTGTTCATAGAAGCATTCATAAAAATGATAAAATCATTAGCAAAACATAAGTGTGATATGTGAAAAGCACCTAATGTTTTGAAATAAAGGCTAGGGTACTTCTAAAAAATATCAACAAGAACAGTAGATATATATTTCATCGCAATAATGAAAAGAGCCAGAAAAATGGGATTACCCTGTCTCAACCCATGAAAAGCCTTAAAAAAATCATTACTCTTACCATTCACAATGATAGAAATTTAAGGGCCTTCAATCAAAGTTTAAAAAGGTTGATAAAATTTAAATCAAAACTAAACAACTTCATAATTTCACAAAGGAAAACCCAATTAATATTATCATAAGCCTTTGCAATACCAAACTTCAAAATCATATTACCACCTCTCACCGTGACATCGAAATCTTGACAAAATTTTTGAGCCAATAGGATATTGTCAGTGATAACACACGCTTTTTTTTGGGAATTTTTGGGGCAAAAAGCCCATCTCATTGCTAAAGAAGATTACAAGTAAGTAAGTAAACAAAACTATAATCCAACAATCTCAAACAACAAAAAGAGATTTTGGATTCTAAAGAAAAAGAAAATACAATTCTAAAAATAATGAAGAAAAAACAATTAGGCTAAAAGCCAAGGACTCAGAAAAATGCGCAAATTCTCGAAAGGGTAAAAAACACGTATGGGACATAAATTGAGCATAGCCCCTGGTTGCCCAGGAGACCGTCCAAGGGGCAGCTGAACATGTTCAGCATTCATCATCGTCCTTCCAAAATTGATTTCCCCAGCATCTAGTAAAACCGACTGCACCTCCATAATTCCATTAAAAAGCCACAGCTCATGCTTCAGGATAGTAAACAGAAAGTAAAGGTCGAGATTAGTAGATTTTCCCCAAGTCCAGATTTCAGAAATCCTTAATTTTTTCATCTCAGAGATTTTAACATCTCAACTTTCTTGATTTTAGAAATAATTGTGGCTTTACTGTCAATAATGCCACCAAATAATCTGTCTTTTCTTGCTCTCCAAACAAAGTAAACCGTGGCAGAGGCAATAAGAAGATAGTGATTCCTTGTTTTAGCAATAAAACCTTGCTCACATATGCTGTCATTAAGCTGGTAAAAATTTGGCCTCATAAAAAGATTATGCATCCAAGGGAAAAGAACTTTAGCAATATAAAAAATGTAGTTGCATTCAAAGTAAAGGTGAGTTATAGATTCCATATCACTGTAACAGAAACAACAGGTGTTGGGAACCAAAATATCAGAACAACAAGCACATCCACTATTTTTAAACCCCCATGAAACACCATCCAAGCATAAAATGAATAGCACATGACATTATTCTTATGCCAAATATATTTATGCCAAGAAACTTCATTCAAATTAGCATAAAACTGTGAGTTAAAATCACGAAAGCTTGGGTTTTGCTTATTAATCCAGTAATGGTTCTCAGGTTGTTTATCAATAGTAACAGATTGAATTAGAGCAACCATTTGATTATCAAAGAAATTAGGGATGTTCCAGTTATCACCATGAATAAGCTAAGATACTTTCCAGTCAAAGAGAAAGGAAAAACTGGAGGTAGTGTTCGTGTTCACAAAGTAGTCAGCAATAGAATTTCCCCCACACCAAGGGTCCCAAAAGAAAGACAAGTTGCTACTGTCATTCACAGAAAACAAAATGCAGTCTTTAATCTCATTGGCTTTAACACGCAAATAATCCCAATATTGTGAATTTTTAATGGCCATGGGATTCCACAACGATTGATATCTTGCTCTCCACCAGGAAAAGAGAAGGGAATCAGCATTTAAGAACCTTCAAATGGTAAAGCAAGCATAACTATGCTTAAGAGAATTCATTGATGGCATACCCAGTCCCCCATTGACTTTAGGACAACAAGTTTTATTCCAGGAAACAGTAACTAGTTTCCTCTCCTTAATATTGCCATAGAAGGTAAATCTTGAGCACAGCCTAGTAATTTGTTTGCAGCAACCCTTTGGTATAATTGAACCACGAATCCAGTAAGCCAATGTATTGGATATAGTGAATTTGATAAATTGCACACGCCCAGACAAAGATAATGTTTTTGCTTTCCAGCCCTCTAACTTAGTAGTAATTTTTTGAAGTAATGGGTTAAAGTCACTCATTTTTAGCTTTTTATAGAAAATAAGCAACCCCAGGTACTTAATGGGAGAGATAGACTATTGTATATTGAGAATATTACAGATTTCATCAGCAACCGGGGTGTTCTTAGATAATAAAATGGAACTTTTAAGAGGGTTCACATTAAGACCAGTGACAGTCGCAAAATCCTTCAGAATATATTTAATAGTGTGTACATTTCTCGTAGTGGCTGTGCTAAACACAAGGAGATCATCAGCAAACATAAGATGGGAAACCTCACACCTCCCGGCTTTAATGGCTTGAAGAGAATGGCTAGCAGTTGCAAGATCAAATTTTGATGACAAACCGTCCATGATGATAGTAAAGAGATAAGGGGACAGGGGGCAGCCTTACCTAATCCCAGAGGTGGAGTTAAAATAGCCTTCTAACACCCCATTGATACAAATAGAGAACTGGACATTAGTGGTGCAGGCTTTGATCCAAGAGATAAACAAACTGGGAAAGCCTTTATCTTCTAATCTTTTGTAAAGAAAATCTCTAGACACCATGTCGAAAGCTTTGGTAATATCAAATTTTGCACAAAAATACTTGTGTTTGGCCTTAAGGTTAAAACAACCAAGGATATCAGTAGCCAAACAAATATTATCAGAAATAATTCTCTTATGTATGAAACCTCCATGACTGGGGTGGATAATATGGGGCAACACCTTCTTCATTCTATTCGCAATGATTTTTGCAATAATTTTGTAGATAACATTACAAAGAGAAATAGGCCTGTAATCTTTAACGTTGCTAGCGTGGGATTGCTTAGGGATGAGAGGAATAACATTTGCTTTAATCTGATTTGACATGAAGCCAGTGGTAAAGAAAGAGGAGACAGCTCTGCAAAGTTGTTGTTGGATAACTATCCAAGTAGATCTATAAAAATCAAAAGTGAATCCGTCTGGACCAAGAGCCGTATTAGAATTACCAGAGAAAACAATGTCTAAATAATCTCTTCCATTATGACCGGGGAAATAAGTGAAGAAGTGAGGTGTGCTGGAACCAAACTCCCTGCAGGAATATCCAATGCCAAATGGCTGAGAGCAGTGGGAGCAGAGGAATTAAAGAGATTTCTGAAGTGACTGATGAAGACATTGGCAACATCAGCATGCTTAGTATAGGTGCCTTGATCATTGGTGATTGCCTTGATCCTATTATAGTTTTTGGTAATGTTGATTTTTTAGTAAAGAAACTTCAAATCATCTTCACCGTGGGTTAACCCTTTAACCTTGGCTCTTTGAGAAATCCAGCTAGAAAGTGCATCTTGATAATAAGCAAGATTAGTGCTAATTTGGCTGAGCTTGCCGTTCAAGGTAGGTTCAAGTGGATTGCTTTGGATTTTAGATAAAACAGAGTGGTGGATGTCTTTGAGAGTGTAAAATTCACCTTGAATGTGATTAGCATTTATCCAACTTTTGTGTTTCATAGAATTCTTAAGGGTCTTGAGCTTAAAGTTGAAAGAGCTTAAGGGACTACTCTCATTTGGAAGAGAAAATACATCCAAAAGGCAACCCAAGAATTCTGGAATCTTGGTACAGTAGTTTTTGAATAAGAAATGATGCCCACGCTTGCAATCAGTAGAATTTACCAAGATTAGAGGTGAGTGGTCAGAGCAATCATGATCTTCAACTTCGTAGAAAGAGTTGGGAAAATAGTAGAGCCATTTATCATTGACTAGAAGACGATCTAGTTTAATATGAATTGGATTGTGGAGTTGTTAATTATGCCAAGTGTAGAAGTGCCCAACATAAGATAGATCATGAATCCCAGCATTAAACACCATACTATTGAAATCACCCAGCTTGGCAACAGTCAGAGCATTGCCCCCTGCTTTTTCCCCCAACTCACGGCAACAGTTAAAGTCGCCCAAAATAGCCCAAGGGTTATTGATGGAACCAGCCAAATCTTGAATATTTTTCCAAAGAATTTGCCTCTCAGAATGAGAGTTGCTAGCATACACAGCAGTGACAGCACAGACAACATTTGCATTAGTAGTAATTGTACCATGAATGAACTGATTAGTCACAATAAGAGGACTAAAATTTAAAGCTTCCTTATTCCATTTTACCCATATACGACCAGAATTGGAAAATAGAAAACTGTAACAATTTCCTTTTATAGGGAAAATTTGGTGATTAGCCATAAGCCAATCATTTTGAAGGTTATTATGGGTTATTTTAGCTTCTAGGATGAAGAGGAGTTCAAGGTTGTGAGATTGGACAAGGTTTTTGCAGCTTTTGACTTTGACTGGGTTATTAAACCCTCGAATATTCCATGCTGCAATGTTGGGGAGGGTCATTGGACTTTGTTGTTGCGGGTAGAGGCTTTTTTGCCTTGTTTGCCACTAGTTTGTTTTTGGTTTTTGTTGCTTATGTGTTGGTCTTTTGGGGTATTAGATGTGGAGTTGTTTGTATCATTTGAAGATGTAGGAATGTTAGGTTGATGAGTGCGGGGGGATGTATGGGGTGGGCTGTTGTGATTGAGAATGGGATGAACATTTTCAGTGGGGGTATGGGTCACATTTTTAGAGGTCTTGGTATGGTTTAAGCTTTGAGGTTGGACATCATCAGTCTTATTAAGGTCAATTAAAGACTGAAATTTGTTAGTCGTGTTTATGGGAGGATGTTCTTGTGTTTTAAATGGTAGTTCAGAGTTGTCCTGCACATCACCAAAAGGTGAGTTCAGATTAGGTAATATTGGGCCAACAGTATTATTGCTGGTTAGTAATTATGTAGGAGGTAGAGAGGTGACCGTGTTGTTCACCTTAGAGGGTAGAGGGTATTTGGGAATTGTGAACCTTGGAGGGGCAGAGGGTCTGGGTTTACGACTGGAACTTCGGCCCCTGGGATTAACATTGGTAGTGGGTTTCAAAATAGTGTCTTTGAGATAAAGTGTGGGCGGGTGCATGATAGAACCACATTGTGAGCAATGTTTAGGTTTCCAATCATAGTGTACATGTAGTGGAGTGACTTTGCCGTCAACAGAGTAAAAGATTTCTTCAGGCAGAGGGGAAGAGCTAGTGATTTGGACACATTCACGTGCGAAGGTGAGACGGGTTTTAGCCATAGTAAGAGCATCCACAGCAAAAGGAATACCAATGCAACTAGCAAGTTTAGATATACCTTCCGGTGTCCAAAGAGATAGAGGCAAGTTCATGATTTTAACCCATAATGGTATTGAAGGGAATTCCTCATGCTTAGGAACGAAGTCTGAGCTCCACTTTTGTAGGATGAAAGGCTTTCCAAAGAAAAACCAAGGACCTCTTGTCCAAGCGTGCTCGTAGTCTTCTAGGGCAGTGAACTTAAGCAAAAAGAATCCGTCATCCATGGTGAGGAGGGAAAGTTCTCCTTTGAGTTGCCAAGTCTTTTTGATCATCGATAGGAGTGCTTCGTAGAAGGGCCGCTTCCCAATGGAGAAACCGACTAGTGAAAAGGCCCATTCAGGTGCTCCAGCCATGAATTGGTCTGTGGTGAAGTTGGCCTTGAAGTTATTGGTAAGGACGAAGGAGAGCGAGTGGAAATAATTAGTGGAAATTTGGGGCGTAGTAGTTAGGAGGTTATTCCAGAGGGGTAAAACTGAGGGAAGGGTGGGTGAGGAAGTAGCAGTGGAAGGAAGCGGAGGGAACTCGGCTTCAGCCATAGGGGATGAGGCCCTTTGGCCGGAGAAGGTGGCAGAGAGGAAACAAACTAGGGTTTGGAAAAACCCTAGCGGAGCTCAGCTCATCTCAACTTTTAATCTTTTTCTTTTATGTATATAACACACCCTTTAATAAATCCCATTTAGAAAGGGGAAATAATCCTAGGCAAAAGAACCATTAAATTATTCATCAAAATTTTAGAAACGAATTTGTAAAAAAGGTGCACAGACTAATAGGTCTAAAATCATTCCAAGTACCAACAAACTTATTTTTTGGAATAAGCATAATAGAAGTAGAAGTAAAATACTTAGGAATAAATTTAACATCAAAGACGTCAATAACAATAGAAAAAAGATCATTACCAATATATTCCATATTTTCAAAAAAAAAAAACACTTCGTAGTGAAACCATCCGACCTAGCAACCGACTCACCATTCATACCCAAAATAGTTTCTTTCACCTTCGCCAGAGAAGGATGTTTAAATTAGTAAACATTATCCTCATGAGAAATAAGAGTTGGGATGATAGAAGGATTTTTGATAATAAAAGGATTAAAGGCTTTATTAAGATGATTATGAAAATATTGAATAGCTAAATTAACAATTTGAACACCATCTTCAATAACTGAGCCATCAATCTGATTAATTTTATGGATACAATTAATAGCATGTTTCCTCTTAACCAAGGAATGAAAATATTTAGTATTATTATCACCTTCAACCTGATTTTTGATAGCCACTTTTTGCTTCCAATAAACTTCCTCTTGAGCTTGTAATTTAAAAAAAAGGCCATCTTCTGCCTCTCTCAACAAAAAGAAATTAGCTTTAAAAGGAAAAAATTGGCACTGATTCTCAGAAGAATTCACTTTATCTTCCACAATTAAAATGATGGAAAAAAGATTCTTAAAAACATTATGATTCAACCATTTTAAAATAAGCTTAAGCCTTTCAACTTAAACCACAATCTCCTCATACCAAAAATAGCATTATCCAGATATATTGGAGCATGCCAATTATCCTTAACCAAATTCATAAAAGAATCATAAAGTAACCACATGTTTTGAAATTAAAATTGAGAAGAGAAATTCCTAATTCTAGGCTTAATTTTAATAAGAAGAGGCGAAAGATCAGAGAGGGTCCTACTGAGATGCTCAACTTTAGTAGATTCAAAGGAGTTAATCCAATCATCATTAAATAAAACTAGGTCTACCTTTTCCATAAATTCCCACGATGCCAAGTAAAGTTATTACAAGAAAACCAATATAAATTAAGTTACAATCCATAATCATATTATTGAAATCCTCCATAGACTGATAGATAGGAAGAGAGCCCCTTATGCTTTCAGATGGGTTAGCTGTAATATTAAAATCACCTCCAATAAGCCAGGGAAGTTTGCAAATACTATGAAACTGAGTAATTTGATCCCACAAAAATTTTCTAGTATAATGAGAGGAAGCAGCATGTACAAAAAGAAGCATAACATTGAAAATTAGAACTTTCAATATTACAATATAAAACTTGAGTATAATCACCAAAAATGTCAACCCTAACAAAATCTTTCCAAAAAACCCAAATTTTATTTTCAACATTCAAGAAGGCATATTTAAATCCCAAAAATTTAGCTATATGAAGAAGCTTATCATAGGAAATAAGAGGCTCAAGCAAAACTAGAATCGAAACATTATAAATACAACATAAGTTTTGAACTCTTAACTTAGAAGAATGGTACCCAATGCCCCTAACATTCCAAATAATAGCATTAAAAATAAATAACAAAATATTAATGGGAAGTATGTGAATGGGTGTTTCTAGGTGATTATAAGATAAAATTCTTTTGCTTCCTGCCTCTCCTACCATGACCCTTAGAAAAACTAGTATCATTATCATCTCTAACAAAACATTTAGCCATTATATTCATATCCTCTGTATTAGTAAAAGCGTCACTATGATAGTGATCATTAAAAGGAAACATATTTTCATTAAACAAACCTGACTGCCAACCACAGTTGATTCATTGTTCGCAACATTACCACCTATCTCCTTCACTACATCAGCTTGGACCACATCCTGAAGAATCACAACAGTCTAATCTCAATCCTCATCCACACCTCCATCCTTAATGGGAGGCTCAAAAGAAATAGTATTTAGGTTAGTATCAATGCTTTGATCCTTCTCATTATGACAAATAATAGGTAAAAGAGAGATAGAGTTTAGATTGACTTCTTGCACTTGAATCAACTTCTTAACAGTAGTAGGATTCAACTAAACCTTTGTAGACTCCAAAATAAGGGATTTATTAATAAGATTTTGCACCTGAGAAACATTACCCACAATACCATATGGATTAACATTATCTAATTCAACTGAAGGAGAATCATTTTTATGCATAGGTTTAGAAGAATCCTTTTCCTTCCAGAGATGCGAGTGAAGCTTAATATAAGCATTAAGACCATGCCCATGCATCTTACAATGAGTATAAAAAAAGGTAAATTTTCAAATTCAATTTTTTGAAAATAGCCATTAAGTTCTGAACTAATCCAGACCTCATTAAGACACTTCTAAGATATATCCAATTCAACTAACACACGAGCTACATATGATCATGAAATGGATGCAGTAGCTTGATCAGTTTGTAACGATCTACTAAAGATAGAAGCCAAATCAAATAATATTTGAGAATTGAAAAAAAGCAAATGAAGATTCAGAAAAGAAATCCACACAAGCTCGATGGGAGATTCTTCATGAACATCAAAATTAGGTGTCCATTTCAACAATCACATTTGGGAACCCTTAATATGATAGGTCCTTCTAGAGAAAATATGAATATAATCTAGATCGTTTCTCAGTTGAATCACAATATGTCTGGAATCCAACAAACTAACATGAAATGATCCAGATAATTTTAGATTTAGAAAAATTTTTGAATGATGTCTAGGTTCAACCGCCTAAGCATAAACATGCCAACAAGAGTGAGCGCAAAAGGTGCAACCAATATAGAAACCACAGAGTCCTCAAGAAACAACGTCGTGCATCCTTTATAAGAAGAATGAACAAAAGAAAGTTTTGTAGAAGAAGAAGATGAGCCAGCCAGAACATCCTTAAACGAATGAGACTTACAAGACAGAAGCACAACAGGTAGAGGGAAAGATGATGATGGAGTCGTCGTCTCCCAAAAACCTCAAACATCACACTACATTGGCTCTCAAACTCCATTCATGCTATCACATCAGTAATCCATCACACATAAAAGGTTAAAAGTAACTGTGACAATAAAATATATAATAAAATAAAAACTCCTTAGATGCATATTAAGGACTTTTCTTATTCTAAATTCTTCTCATTCATAATCTTTTAATCTAAGACCATTAACCTTGAAGATATGAAGAGTTACAAATTCATTGATCAAACTCATTGAAAATCATGAATTACAAATTCTGTTGTTAAAACAAAATCCAAAACCCCTTGATATATAACCTTTTTTGGATATGTTTCAATCACCTTAAAACATGACCAGATGACCTTTGATTCATCATCTATCACTTATATTTTAATTAAGAATGTACCTAGGGTCAATCATAAAATTTTGGAGGTATTTAAAAATCCTTAACCCCTAAAACTCAAAGCATTTTTATAGGCTTCCAAACCTTCAAATATTATGGCCTATGTCACTTAACATAATATAATGTAATTATGACCTTAGAAGCTTCTCAGACTCATTGATCATGAATATCACCACTAAAATGAAGCATTAAACCTGTATTGAATCTTGTTTGATCTTGGCTAACCAAGGTTGACCAAATGACCATAAAACCTAAACTAGTATAACTTTATTTTCCTTACAACTCAACATAGGTTAGTCAAACCAAGCAATGCAATCTCTTCCACCATATAAAAAATATGATTTAGAGTTCATTGAACTAAATTTCAAACCATAATCAACCATTGTTGACCAAGTCAACAAAGGTTTTACCAAATTACCCTTTTACCCATCTAAACAACATTCATGCATGAAGGCCGACTAAATCTTAGGACCACATCCAACAAAATATAAACATTATTTAAAATGCATTTAACCAAGTTCAAACCCTAAGTCCAACTTGGTTGGCATAAAGGCCATTTTACCCCTTAAATATATATTTAAAACTAAATATCATTTAGAATCATTGAAATATGTTCCAACCCTTGGTCCATCTTGGTTGAAAAAGTTAAACTATGTTGACTAAAGGGCTCTTTTAACTAATAAACATGCATTCAAAACCAAATGAACATGCCAAACCATTTGACTACTTCCAATATGTATAAAATATCATTTGGAATGATTTGGACCTATCATTGTCACTTAATTAAACTTGGTAGACCAAGAAAACCATGACTGAACAAAATATGCTCTATACACTTAAGAAATTAAAACTCATGATTTTTAACTCACAATAGAACCAAAATTAATAGAACAGATCTATGGATGTCCATGTGTCATTAAAAAAGTTTGAGCCCATGGGACCACCTTACTTAGCCATTTGGACTGAAGTAAGTAGAGCAAAATGGTTTTTTATGAGCCAAAACCCAACCCTTGTAAAATTAAATTCCCCAAATGGCTATTGTTGTTATGTATTGACCTAATGCACATGTCATGTGAGGCCTATACTATAGTTTGGACTGGGGTAACCACATGGGGTGAACAAAGCTACCCAAAACCCACTTTCTTGGGCCCATTAATGATATAGAATAAATAGGACCAAACCAATGGCTATTATGGACTGTAGAACCTTCCCCTTATAGCTTATGTCAAGCTCATATTACCTGAGCTAATTATGAGGTAAGATACCCTAAAATACCACTCTATAATGATTGGTTCAACCATAAATCCCTTAATAACCAAGTGTATGCTTTTAAAATCTTCAGAATGTTCCGTTAGATCCAATAGCTCAGTTCCTAATTGCGTGGCTGCTAGCCTGGGCTTAGGTGGAAATATCAAAGCTCTACATCCCATTTTCTCTCTCCT